ATGGTAAATATCTGAAGAAATACCACCTGAGTGTGAGGCAAGAAGCCTAGATACGCAATGGCCGATATACGATTATCGCCCTTAGCGTAAACATGGCCGATACATAATTATTGCCCTGAGAAATATAAATGACCGATGGAGTGTTGACATCGTCCTTAGAACAAATACAGGGCAAATTATTTTTTGGCATCCAAGCTTTGCCAAAAAACAGGGGGCATGTGTTGACATCAGATTTTGACATGATACAAGACGCAATTAAGATGGCCTCAAATGAAAAAAGATTTCGATGTGAAAAAGTTTTGTATCATCAAATTGAGTAACTTTGTTATTTGAGTCATCACCATCCGACCTCATCTTAAGAGCCGAAACTGTGTTCAGAGTTTTAAAAATTTACGTTCAGATCACCGTTTGGCTGATTATGCCCCCAAGAAGGCCTCATATGGAAAAATGATCTACATGAATTATCTTCGTCTCATCGAATTGGTTGATTTTGATATAAAAATCATCCCAATCCGAGTTCATATGCACAAGTTAGAGGCAACACTCTGTGGACCGGTCCTGGGTGAAAAAGTGATGCGAGGGACCAGACACCCACCTAGGTGGTGTCTGATGGATTGCGCGAGCTATTCGGCCTTTGCCAGCTGAATAAAGCTTTCCAGTGTGGAAAGCTTGCCAATCGAGTAAAAAGCTTGACAACATGGAAAGCTTGCCAGCATAAAAAGCCTGCCGGCATGAAAAAGCTTGCCGACACGAAAGGCTTGCTGGCATAAAAGCTTGCCGGTGTGGAAAGCTTGCCGGAAACTGCGAGGGCCAATCCAACCAGAAGCTAAAGATGGACTGAAAAGATTGTCTAGATGACCTCGGATTAAAAGTTGTTCTAAACGAAAGTTGTGCATAACATCGGAATGGCCAACTTTTCTTTTGAAGTCATCATCATCTGAGATAGTATACATGTTGCAAAGTTGCTACAATACATGGACAACCAAAAAACTGCATGGTCGAGTCCGACTGGAAGTCAAAGATGGCCTCATAAGGTATTCAAGATGGCCTTGAATCAAAAAAAAGTTCAACATGAAAGTTGTCGTCTCGTCAAAACGGTTAAATTTTCTTTTGGGCTCATCTTCATCCGAGGTCGTTTGTGGCCTGTGAGGCTCAAAAACTGAGCCGTTGACTCTGACTTACCTAAATCCGAGTTCTGGTAGTTTTGGAAAGATTTGGACGGGATTTGGAGTCCTTTTCTTATACATGAAGTCTAGCCGCCACATAAACAGATGAGAGGTGACGGCCGATTGAAAAACACACAATCGAACAAATCAATATACTATTTTTTCATCTATGTTTTATTCCAATATCGTTTTTTCTCTCGTTTTTCGCCGTTCTTCGTGATAGCTGCGAATTCCGAGGCTCTAGGGGCGAGCGAATCGACCTAGGGCAGCCCATAGCTGCCGCCTGATGGGGCCTCTCCCGGGCTTGTGGGGTTTCAGGTCCGCAAAAGCACCCGCCGACTGACCTACGTTATGCGCGGTCAGTCGGACCTCCTTCAACGTGAGTTGCTGTGCATCACCCCCGACGTCGAGGGTACACGTGACGTATTCATGTGTCAATCTACATGTCTTGAAATGATTTAAAGGTTGAAGGTTATTACCTGCTGCTTAGCTACTACAATAGACTTCTCTAATTGCTTCCAAAATAAACTGAGGGGAGTAGAAAGATTATGTTCTTGTTGTGTCCCAGACTCTGATGATACAATGTTCATTCCCATGTACAAGTAGGTTTATCTTTCAGCTCATTGCATATTGGCAGCTGGAGCACAATGTTTTTTTGGTATTCATTTGAGTTACGTCTCCAAAGATAAGATTTACACTTGGAATTTGCATGTCATTGAGTATGAATGATAAATGCAACTAGATACTACTCCCTCCGTCAGAACATAAGTGCCATTGGTTTGTACTAAATCAGCGACCCTTATTTTGGGACAGAGGGAGTGATAAATGACACAGTTTTGTCTGTTGTTGCTCCATGTTTTTACGCTTTCTGGTATATAATGTTGTCACTTTGTAGTTCTCAATTTCAAAAGATTTTAGTTACAACTAATTATGCAATTGAGATATACTTAAGCGAATACATATCCCCTCGCTCTCAAGGCATAGGGTTTTCCTATCCTCCGGCGCTCCCGCCGCCGTGAGTACCCCCCGTTGCTGATCGGCCCTAGCAGTTGTCTAGGGAGACGAAGGGGCAGTCGGCTGGACCATCAGTCGGCAGCTACCTAGGGTACCTCTCGCCCACGACGCCGTAATGATTGCAGTTATCCAACGGTGCTATAATCTAGTTAAATATGACAGTTACTAGTAGTACATGCCATTAAAAACATTAATACCTGCCATTATGCACCCCCTCCTAGCGCACTCCATGTAAGCGGGGAGGGAAGCTTCAGGCTGAAGGTTGGACATCCATATATTGTACCTTGCGCCAAGAGCTAAGAGCATCATAGGACTAGGGTATTACCTCCACCCCAGAGAGTGCGAACCGGTATAAATCCTTGAGCGTACTCCGAACTGCACCCTTTGCTAGATACGATTGCCTCTACATTCCTACACTCCTAGTATTATCAGTATTATATCCACGATAAAGTGGCCTCACTAAACTCTTGGGTGCTCATGTCCTACAATGGTTAGAATCGGTACCAGTTCATACCACAAACATAGAGTGCTACCAATGAGTTCGAAGCATTAAACTAGCATCCTATAGTATCATCAGACCTGAACTGAAAAACAACATGAACGTCATAGAATCGGACTACCAACCCCTAATGTTCTAGAAATTCATCACCAGTATCTACCACATCATCACATGTCACAGATCAACACTCTAAAATGCTACTAGTGCTCATAAATCTATCCCTAGCACATGCTCATAGACCAAAGCTACAATGAATATGGAAGGGGTGATAGAACTTGCATTCATCGGGGAGCAAGGAGTTGAAGAGAAGAGAAAGTCGTCAGAGAAGAGAAGAATGACGAAGCGCCACCATCATCCAATGCCGACCGGAGAAGGTGCACCGCTTACCTGTTGGTCACCGACGAAATCGCCCGGGACGAAGAGCGCGCAAAGGGAAATGGTGGCGGGGAAATCGGCGGTGATCCGATGGGGGCTAAATAGGGCGTCTGATTCGACGGGAGCTAACCCAATTCTTCCTGTCGTTTTTTCGTGCACGCGCGCGAGCTCACGCCATCCCCTCCTTGCATCAACTCGACGCGGCATGCCTCTCCTATGCATGCTGCGAGCCTGGATGGGAGAAAACAACCGATTCAGCCTTTCTGGCTGGGCCTGGCCTGGAGGTGTTTTAAGAAGCGTGCAATGCAGGCCAAACAGTGAAAACGGGAAACCAAACGAGCCAAATGTGCATCCAACATGCTTAGTTGAGCCTAATGAAGATAATCAAACGCATCATTAGTGTGCCCGATTTAGGGTACGCCGATTGAAGATGCCTTGAGTGGAGTTGCGCAATGGGAGGCGAATGGGCAGTACTCTGTGAGCTCTGCGTACGATGCCAGGTTCGCGGGACGGGAAGTGGAGCCGACAGCACAATTCACGTGGCAATCCAAGGCCCCACTACGATGTCGCTTCTTCCTTTGGCTCGCGATGCACAATAAATGTTGGACCTCGGATAGACTTGCTAGGCGAGGGCTAGATCATCAGGATGCGTGCCCCTTCTTTGATCAGCACGAGGAGACCATTTATCATCTTTTACTGGGTTGCGTCTTCGTCAGAGAAGTTTGGGCTATCATGTGTAGAGCACTTCACAGGCCACAGTGGACGCCGAGTCAGGACTCGAGGCTGCGAGATTGGTGTGCCGTCACTACCACTCAAGGCCAAGGTGCAAAGGAATCACGTGTCATCTTATTTCTTGTGCTCTGGGAAATTTGGAAGCACCGAAACGCGATTGTCTTCGAGGGCGCCCCCCTCTCCTTCAGGGCACTTGTGAACAGAATTGACACTGAAGGACGAGCATGGAAACAAGCTGGCATCCTAAAAGGAGATGTGGAGCCTATCCTCAGAGGGCTAGTTCAGTGGCCTGAGGGGAGAAGTTAGGCTAGATTAGTGTTCGGCTTTGCGAGTGGAGTTGGTTCTCATGTATCTTTGTAACATGTAAACGCCAACATGGAGGGGCTCTTGTCCCCATCCTCTTCCTTTAATATATAGTACGCACACTCGTGCGTATTTGAGAAAAAACAAATAAAAAAAGCAAAGCAAAATATATTATCTTCTTCCGGGCTTATTGGCCCCCTCGTTTTTTTGTCAAATGTTGACCATTGTAAACTAACAAAGTATAAATTATATGATACAATAAGTATAGTTTCATCATATATCTATTTGGTTTCACAAACGGTCAAACTTTGAGATATTTTGACCCTTCAATAAAGTTGGAAGCACACTCTTTGAAGGACGGAGGGAGTAATTTTTTTCTTTTTTGCAATATACTCCCTCCGTTCCTAAATATAAGTTTTTTTAGAGATTCCAACAAGTGACTACATAAGCGTATAAAATGAGTGAATATGCACTCTAAAAAATGTCCACATACATACATATGTTGTAGTCCATTTAAAATATGTAAAAGGACTTATATTTAGGAACGGAGGGAGTAGTATATTTTTGGGTCTTTCAGATTAGCTCAAATTTCAAACTTCAAACGGCCTGATGAAACGGTACTTCCGTCTGCCTGCCACTCACACTGATCCCATTGGACCGACCTGTGGGTCCGCTTCACTTTTTTCCGGGAAGAAGGAACCCACTCCGCGGCAACGTGTAACGCGGCAAGGTCACGGAGCCGTGAGCGAGCCGTAACGGTTCCGTGGGTCGCGCCCGTTCCCCATCACCATAACCTGCGTACCACCGGCACCCACCCCCAGCGGCCAGCGAGCGGGGGTAACGTCGTCACCCTAACGCCGCCGCCGTGGCCGGGAGCGGAGCCCGCGGCGCAGCCCTAACGCCGCCACCCCATGGCCTCCTGCGACGGCGACTTCGGCCTCCTCGGTGACGACGCCCACCCCGCTCCCCAGCCTTCCGCCCAGCCGGCCCCGCCGCAGCAGGCCCAGGGCTTCTGCTTCGTCGAAGCCTCGGCCGCGGGCTCCGGCGCCGGCCCCTTCGCGCCGGCCCGGGAGGAGGGCAACCACAGCTCCGACCGCGGGAAGGCGTCGCACCACACCAAGCGGCGGAGGGACCGCCCGGAGGAGTTCAGCGATGGGGGCGAGTACTGCTCCTACATCAGCGGCGGCAGCGGCGGGGGGAGGAAGGGCCGTGGCGGCGGCGTCTCGTCGGACTACCGGAAGGATCGGGAGGAGTGGACGGACGGTGCCATCAGCAGCCTCCTCGACGCATACATGGACCGGTTCGAGCAGCTCAACCGAGGGAATCTCCGGGGGCGGGACTGGGAGGACGTCGCCGCTGCCGTGACCGACGGGCAAGGCAAGAGCAGCGGGGGCAAGAGCGTGGAGCAGTGTAAGAATAAGATCGACAACCTCAAGAAGCGGTACAAGGTAGAGTGCCAACGCATCGCCGGCTCCGCCTCGGTCAGCCTCTGGCCCTGGTACAAGCAGATGGAGCAGATTATGGGCAACTCCCCATCGCCCGGCACCCCCAAGCCGCCGCCGGCCACCAACGACGAGAAGCCGCGGCAACAGCAGCAGCACAGCAACAAGAGGTGGCTCCATTTGACATCTTTGCTCTCATTAATTTGGGGATCTAATGGTCGAGAGTCTAGAGACGAGCTAATGCTTATCCTTGCAGGTACCCTTCTTCCGGCACTGGCCACGCTACCACCATGGTTCCTTATTCCAGATCCACTCCTCTCTCGAATCCGAAATGGAAACGGGTACTTCTGAAGATTGGGGGCACTGCATTGGCTGGAGAAGCTCCTCATAATGTTGACCCTAAGGTAGTATTTGTTGTTAGATATGCACAGATCTTGTTCATTGCTCTCCTGAATTTTTCACACAGAACCTTGTGACCTTGCCAGGTGATCATGCTGATTGCCAGAGAAGTTCAAGTGGCATGCCGCCATGGTGTTGAGGTAAATAGAATACATTCATTCTACTATTCTAGACATACATTTTGTACTCCCTCCATCCGGAAATACTTGTCCTCGAAATGGTTGTATCTAGACTTATTTTAGTTATAGATACATCCATTTTATCCATTTCTAAGACAAGTATTTCCGGACGGAGGGAGTAAATATCAAGCGATACAGGCCAAGCTAATATGGCATTTTGTCCTATCAGGTGGCTATTCTCATGGGAGGTCGGAATGTATTCTGCGCTGACTCTTGGGTTGCTGCCACAGGCACCGATAGAGCTTCAACACATCCGATTGGGTAATCATCACGGAATCACGTCATTGTTAGCTTTCTCAAAACTAAAAGAGTTTGGCTGCTTGCATACTAAGATATCACTCTTTTTTTTTCTTTTAGAAAATAAAGCAGCATATAGATAGCTTTTCCTTGAGTTTTGTGCACAGATTGGTTGAGGCTGGTCTGATCTGCGTGTCAATAAAACTACTTTGGAACTATTCTTCACATGCTCGTTTCAATGTATCATGGATTTGCTACCAGGCATCTATATTGCAAGTACCAGTATGTATTCATACATTACACCAAAGCCACAAATGATTAGAGACATAGCCGGAGCTTCAGTGACTCACCAAGCTTAAGAACTGGAATTAGTTCTTTTAGTTTAAAATATTTTTTATTACCTGTATACTTATTTGTATAATTCACTTATTGTACAACTAGACAGTCCTCTGTGGTAGGTGATCCCGAGCAAGCTGCCAGGCTAGGTTAGACCTTTTATCCCATTGTTTTTTGAAGTTGGTTAATTTCATGTGGCGCTGATCCCGAATAATAATATACGAGAATTATGGTTTGTTCTTTTGATCTTTACTACATATAATCCTTAGCTGTAGACTGTGACAACTACGGTGCAGGCTATTGTTTCATCTTCTTCATTTCAATCCCCATCATATTGTTTCAGTGTTTCAATAGACAATCAATCATCTGTGATTTCCTACTAAACAGCGACTAATGGAGCTCAATCTTCATATGGTTTGTTCTTATTTTCTACATCTTTAGCTAGGAAACATGAATTAATTCTGACCATCAGACTTGCATTACACTTTTCCTGTGGATCCTAGCTTTCTTTCCGTGATTTGCTACATGTGTATGCATTTATGGTGCTCTATGAATTTTTTTCAGAATGATGGCAGCAGTGATGAATGCAGTATTGCTCCAAGCGTCACTAGAAAAAATAGGTGTGGAGACACGAGTCCAGACTGCACTGATGATGCAAGAGGTTGCAGAACCATACATAAGGCGGCGAGCTATACGCCATCTGGAAAAAGGAAGAGTTGTTATCTTTGGTGGAACTGGTGCTGGTACAGGAAATCCACTTTTTACAACAGATACAGCTGCTGCACTGAGAGCTTCTGAAAGTATGTCGGTTGATCCTCTCCCAAACTCCATCCTGTGATTTCTGACAGGCCTGTTCAGTATTTAGCTTGCGCTTACATCTTTTCTTGCCTGAATGTGTATTTTTTTGCCGTTCTTATTTTCTATGAGAAAGAGAACATCAGCTTTTATGGAGAGGAAATCTAACCAGATGTGCTGTGAACCAGTCAATGCAGACGTTGTCCTTAAAGGTGTCATTGGAGATGATGAATATGGTTGTCCTCCTAGGAGCAACGGCAGTGCACCATTTGAGCACATCTCATTTAGGGAGTTGGCAGCAAGAGGAACCAGCAAAATGGACATGACAGCAATTACATGTTGTGAGGAGAACAATATTCCTGGTTAGTTTCTCTATGAATCTTTCATTTCAAAGTTGTGTTTAGCGCCTCCTCTGGCAGTATACATAAGATGATTTGTGTGCGTTCATTTCTTGCAGTTGTCATCTTTAACATGTTAGAGCCTGGTAACATGCCCAGAGCTATTTGTGGCGACCAAGTAGGTACATTAGTTGACCAGTCAGGAAGGATAACTTAAATCACAAGGGCGATTAGCTGTGTTGTAGCATTGGGACATTTGTATTCTCTCACGGCAGCGTGCATCTTCGTTGATTGCATGGATCTTTGTGGATGGGAGAGAGGGTAATGTTCCTCGGAGAGAAGGCTCACACCTTGATTTGCATCGGGTGCTTGTTGCGTGACATCTGTTGTAGCGGCTCTGCCATGAGAAGTTGTTTGTTTGTAGTATCTGTCTGTAATGTGATGGTTAGACTAGTTGAAGAGCCTTTGTATAAAGTCATATTTATGCCTGCGTATGGCGTTAGGTCAGGTCATCAGAATGTTGTATTGTGCTCTAGTAGTAACTTGTAGCGCTGTTGTTGAGCTGTAGTGTTGTACTGTATTGGAGAAAGGCATTTTTCTTCCTTACGTGCTCGAATGAGTGATGGCTGTCCAGCAAGTGTGCTGTGTGATGTTGTCATTTCTTTTTCACATCAAACATTAACAGCTAGAGAACCGGGTGATGCACTACTGTGGAACCGTATCCCGCTTAGAACCGAATATTGTTTGACCAAGAACGCCTTACTGAATGCAACCTGTTAGCTTTTCTGTGGCCGGTCTGGCATTCTGAACTCCTGAACCTTGACGTGTTGCTGCTGAGATTTGTCAACGAACTGCGAGAGGTGATTTCAGATGTTCTTTTAATCTTTTGTTAGCTGTCTGGTGTTGTGTCAGTTGAGCAAATTGAGTATTCGTGGGTTTTGGTTCAGCAGAATGTGCCGACGGTGGCATCTGCAACTTTCAGAGCAGCCAGTAGTACGTAGTTTCTTGCCCACTTGCATATGTGATCTATCCATACATGGCCGGTCAATCTCCTCTACTTTCATCAATATAATCAGATACAAAATTCAATAATTACACATCATGCTTCCTGTAGTCTATAACAATCTTAATTGCCCGGACACGGTCTCGGGAACTGTCCTAGTCAAGCACCTGATATTTCCTACTATCTGAATCTGGCGTGGCCGAGCCGAGTGGATCATGACGCTTCCGCCTAAACAATGAGATACTATCAGGCACCAGCACGCTACGGTCTTACTGAAGCTCTGCGTGCCAAACCAATTCGAGACATGGACCGAGGGTGGGTAGTGATCATCATGGATGATGACGTGCTAGCTCGCTACATGGTCGGCCAGAACGGCATGTACCGGAGCCAGGCCGGCGGTTCGCCTGCTGACGTAGGAGCCTCCCCGGCGTTCCTGACACCGCTTGCGCCGGCGGAGGAGCAGGAAGATGAGGAGGTCTGGACGGCGGCCGAAGAGGACCTGGGGCACAGGAAGAAGCTCCGGGACCCTAGCTCCATCACCTTCTCCCTCGGGTCCAAACCTAAGCAATGAGTCCACAACATTTACATGATCAGCGAATGATCCTTCACTTACTGAATGATGCAGATGATGCTCACTAACTGTCGCCTAAAGGATCAATGGTTGTTGCGACCGACTTGACACTCTCAGTGGGCCCATGCATTGCTTGCTGAATATGTTCTGATTCATCTCGCCGGCTATTCTCAAGCAGAGTTCATGCCGGCATATCGCCAGCTTGGCTAATGCTAGTATTTGGGTTGACTTTCCACTTTGATAGTTGTGTGGTGCAATTCTGGAATGGAAAACAAAGGGCACTGTGGTCTTCAGATGCAACTAACTTACTTTCCAAGCTGAACTGGGAGTAGTGTAGGCTGAAGGTCGCCGGGTCGGTCGACGGCAGCAAGGGCCGCCTGCCCTCCTTGACGTAGATCCCCACGGCGGCGGCCACGAGGTCCGCCACGCTCCACTCCGCCGACGCCATGACGTTCAGCGGCCACAGGCTCCTCTGCACGGTCACGTTCACCAGCACCTTGCTCGGCGTCCTCCGGACCGCCAGCTCCGCCAGCGGCTCGCCGCCGTCGGCGGCGCGGAAGCTCCTGCCCCTAACGCCGGCGAGCAGGTCCGGCTGCGTCTTGGGCCTCTGCTTTGGCAGCTGGTGCCGCTGCTCCGCCCCGCGCCCGTGGAACGACGCCGACCGCTGCCCCGGGCCTCGCAGCAGCTGCCCTCCTGCCTCCTGCCTTTGCCGGTCGCCGGAGCAGCTCTTCTCGAAGGAAGGCGCGTGAGGAGGCATCGCCCTTGCTGGCGGTGACCGGCAGGCGCTGCCGCAGAAACAGCTCCAAACACCCGGGCGATCAGACGGCGGGCGCAAGGATCACGGCTGCCGGCGGCAAGGCGCATGGGAGCCGGGCGGCGAGGCTGTCCATGCAGAGCAGAGCATGCAGTATGCAGGTGCAGCTGGTCCTATGGCCATATAAGAGCCAGCCGAGACGAAGGCGAAGCAGGGCACAATTAAAGCAAGGAGAACCGAATTTTCAAAGGTGAGAAGCACAATCAAAGCCAGAAGCAACTGGGAAGTGACTTGTACCGGAGAAAGGTGAGATGAGAACGGCACGGCAGACACACACATGGAAACATTGTAACCATTGGTGATTGGCTTGTCAATTATAGGAGCACGATTGCCTCTCCTCCACAAATTAAATACGTTTATGTTTATTTATTAAGGTCGCCACTAAGGGCAAAATACACTTAGTCTTATATAACTCGAAAGAAATTTGATAATTGCAAAGTCATGCCCATTAAATTTCTATTGCATTGAATTGGCACCACGCTTTGGTTGATGCACTATATAAGAAAAACGAAGAACCTTTCTAAAAAAATTTGCTATGAAAAGTAGTGCGGAACAAAATCCTTGAACTTGCAAGATTCAAGCTTTCAACGAGGAACATATGGATAGAGGACTTCAATTGGACTTGGAGTAGGCGGAGGGTCAAGTGGTGAGGTTGAACACATGTGTAATGGAAGTAATGATCATTCAAGTATGTTTAGATATGTCTCAAAAGATGTAACTACAAAGATGGCTGGTGACCCCCCAATTCTTCAATGACAAGCATTGACAAGGCTAAGGACATAGATTTTATCTTTTACCGATCCAAGATCACATTGAGTCCATAGCTATGACAATACTATTAACAAGGATCAAGTATGAATGGTGATAGTTGTTTTTGGTAAGTGCTTAGAGATCAAACTCCAAAATCACGCAAAACACCGCAACCATTTTCCACTATCTATAACTCCATTTCTAGTATTCGGGGCCACCGAGCCAAATCCATTTGGATCCTTTGATCCATTCCAGAGATAGTCGTTGCAATATTATCAAGGTGGGAAGCAGGATATGGTGAAGAAGAAAGAGAGAAGGGGGCCACGATGCTGCCATTGTAGGAACTGGGGACACATAAGGAAGAATTGTCGAACATGGAGGAATACCGATGGGACCACAGTGTCCCAGCGTCCTCTACGAGAAGTGATTGGGATGGTTGCCTTCTTACGCTATCAAGTGGGTTATGTGAGGAAGCGTGGATATTAGATATAGTGAACTCTTATCATGTGGCATCAAACAACGAGTAGATCACTTGCTACAAGTCTATAAAGTTTTCTGATCTATCAAGGTGGCGATGTGCCTCAGTGCACTATGACATTGGAGATGTCAAGATCCAGACTTAAGATGGAAGTGAACATGTGATGTTAGAGACATGCCAAGGGTTCAAGAGAGATATGGCTTCGCTTGGTAAACTTCATGGCAATGGTTATGTCTACAAAGTGGGCAATCACAAGAAGACCAGGAGAGTTAAGAAGAAGCTTGTGACGAAGGGAAAGAGAACCAAGAACAACTTGCACAAAGTGTGAATAAACATTGTTGAAGATGTAACCGAGGAGAAGCCAGATGTGGATTTATGTTCAATCAAGGTGACCAAAACGAAGGGGCCAAACTTGGCGGCACTCATGAGAGTGAGCAACAAGGGAAGATTCCAATTCAAGTGTTGAAGATGATAACCACAAGATGATGAGGACATATCGTTAAGGTGAAGTTTGGTGGATGATCATCGAATATGTATATAGGGCTATAGTTGGACTTATTATGTCTAGGGGTTGAACACATGTAAAATAAACCTATGCATCGCAGGGTAGATTTTTTTTTGCGGGAAGCAGTTAAACTATATTAGAGAAACTAGTAGGTTAGACACAATATCACGAAGGGGTGCTTTGGACGCCTGAGGAAGGGATGACTAGACCGACCATGTCGCGATTTTTGGAAATTTGCCTCATGGCCTTGGTGTGATTTGTCGTGGATTATACTTTGTTGACTTAGTACATGGGATTTTTTTTGAGAATTGGGAATGATCTTTATGCTCCCAAGATGTAGGCATAAATATACGTGTCTACTTTTCTTAATGTTCTAAGCATGTACATTATACCATAATTTGCAATGATTGTAATACCTGTCCATAAACATATGTTTTCCTTTTCCCTACATAGAAGATAAGACACGCTTTACAACTATTTTAAAAGTAAAATAGTTCCCGCACCTTCTCGTTTTTCTTCCCTTACCCTAAATAGTTAGGACAAACTCTCCCCTCTATTGAATTCATACTCTATCCAATTGCTACAATATTTGGAACTGATGGAGAAGGACGGGCAATATATATTTTTGAACTGATGGAGAGAGGCGGACAATATGCTTTAACACTCCTCCTCACATGTATGCTTATTTAGTCCTTAGACGTGGTATCGATGTAGGCCGCAAAATCTTTTTTTAATATTGGGTTGGCATGGTCTTGAAATTAAGATCTCTTGGCTCGGATACCGTATTAAATTCATGTGGGTCTTGAAATTAAGACCTCTTGGCTCGGATACCATATTAAATTCATATTTCAGCCAGTTGCTCCGAAAGTATGAAGAGAGGCGAGTAATTTTTTTTTTCTGGAAAAGGAGGTTAAACCCCCTGCCTCTGCATCAATCGATGCATACGGCCATCTTTTTAATTATTCCACGAAGGTCTGACAAAAACATACATCAAGCCACCCAAAGCCACTACTCACACCTACAAAATTGATAATGCCGCGTGCTCTCACTCCCCATATCTATAACTGATGTCATCGCCGATCCATTCATATAATGTATCGGAACCAACAACCGGTGCGGCAGACCTAAAATGTACACCACGTGCACACATTTTAGAAGCCACCATCATCATCGAACCACTGTCCCATCTTCAGGAGATAGATCTGCATCATCCTTGCCAGTCCGACCAACCGTCGACGCCACCACGGCGCCCAACGACGCCATCGCCCTGCGCTTGTCCATATCGATGTGGAGACTCTGGAAGATCTGTCGTGTGTAGCACCTACCGACCAGGCATGACAAAGCATAGCACCTATCGGCCGGGCATGACTTGACATGTCCATTGAAGCTCCGTTCAAGACGAAGTCGCTCCGCCTCCTGCCTCTGCCTTCCAGCGCTGCTCCGCAAACGATACTCCAAAGAGAGAAACGGCACCATAGTGCCGCCATCATCCGATCTGGAACACCAGATCCTAGGGTTTCCCCAGAGCAACACGAGTGCGTTGACAGTAGTTACTCGAGGATGCCTTCATCAAGGCAACGGCAGAACGCCGCCTCCGCCTGTCGTTGGCTCGGTTTTCACTGGCAACCATGTCTCCCCGACTTGCAGCCGGGACTAGATGATGGGTCTCGAGATCCGATCACCCAGCTTCAGGCCGACTACCTCCGACGGAGGAGATGACCACCACCGCTGGCTGCACCGGCCAGAACAGATCTGACCGGAGGTGCCTCCAAGCAGCCCACCAGGCCCTCCACGCCGCTGTCAATCCAAAGCCAGATGACGCGCCGCCACAATAGAAGTTGCCGCCGCCCTAATAAGTCAAGCTGCCATCCGCCACTGCCCATGACCGGGTTGCCCGACGCGCCGCAGTCGCCGTCGCCCATGGCAGGGCCAGCCACCGCCGCCGCCGCCGCAGTGAAAGCACAAGTGCACCCTGGGTGATTTTGGTAATTAATGTCAACATATCTCATGCTGGACTAATACTTTTATCAAGTGTATTTCATACAAGGTCTATAGTGGCGTGGAAAGGACAAGAGGATGTGGAACCCCTTCAAAATGCTAAGGATACATATTGGCAAAAGCTCAAGACTCTTCATTTCTATTTTAGTGATCCAAGATCACATTGAGTCCATAGAAAAGCCAATACTATTAAAAGGGGATGAGGTGTTGCTTAATGGTCTACTTGCTCAAATGCTTAGTGATATTGCTCCAAATCCCTCAACCACTTTCTCATTGCAAATATGTTCAAAACTCAAAGTCAAACTCGGCCCCACCGATTCATCCTATCCAGAGCCACCGAGTTCATATGATATAGGCACTGCCAGAAACCTAAACCGTCCGGTCACACCGATACGGATCTCGGTCTCACCGAGATGGCCTTGCAAACTCTCTGTTTCCCTTTGTAACATTTTGATCTCACCGAAATGAGCAATCGGTCCCACTGAGTTTGCATGACATCTTCTCTGTTTGCTTATTACTTCACTTCGGTCACACCGACTTGATGCAATCGGCGCCACTGAATTGATATTTGCCCTAAGCCCTAGCACATCGGTCACACCGAGTTGTTCCAGTCGGTCCCACCGAGATTCCTAACGTTCACATTTTTGAACTGAATCGGTCTCACCGAGTTCTTCTATTCAGTCTGACTGAGTTGGGTCAAGTATGTGTAATGGTTGAATTTTATGTGGAGGCTATATATGTTGGGGAACGCAGCAGAAATTCAAAATTTTCCTACGAGTCACCAAGATCTATCTATGGAGAGACTAGCAACGAGGGGAAGGAGAGTGCATCTACATACCCTTGTAGATCGCTAAGCGGAAGCGTTCAAGAGAACGGGGTTGAAGGAGTCGTACTCGTCGTGATCCAAATCACCGGAGATCCTAGTGCCAAACGGACGGCACCTCCGCGTTCAACACACGTGTAGCCCGGTGACGTCTCCCATGCCTTGATCCAGCAAGGAGAGAGGGAGAGATTGAGGAAGACCCCATCCAGCAGCAGCACAACGGTGTGGTGGTGATGGAGGAGCGTGGCAATCCTGCAGGTCTTCACCAAGCACCGCGGGAGAGGAGGAGAAAGAGAGGTAGGGCTGTGCCAACAGGAGAAGAACTTCGTGTGTTGGGCTGCCCCTTTGCCTCCACTATATATAGGGGAAGAGGGAGGGCTGCGCCCCCA